TAATAGGGTAATTAGAACAGAATAAATTCCACTTAAGAAAAACTAAAAATCAGAAGAATTTAGTGACATTAGACTATTATGATGTATGTAATGAGAATGAGGAAAGTATAAGTAGTGAACATCTCCAAAAATACATAATGATCCTCACCATCAAGATAATAGCAATAATATTAATCGTTATTGTGTATATAAAACCAGAAGTGGTCGTAATGTATATCGACCATATCCAAATATGATAATTATGTAATGCATTGAAAACTATGACTCTCACAGGAAAGAGGGGAGATGTTACATGTATGTGGCAACACACTAGTTGCTTGGTTGAAACTGAAGTGAAGTAATTGTCAGTTAATGTTTGTGTGGAATAAACAATGTGCTATGTGAAAGTGTTGTAATGAACTTAATTATAGATCAATAAATATTAATATGATTAAAACATGCACGAACCCTGTACTTCAAAAATGCAAAAGTCTGAATTGTTGTTTCATCATTTGAAACTAAATGAGCTTTTTAGATGTATAACTCTGCTATAAATATATTTTGACAAGTATGCCTAACTAATAGTACTTCATTCAGAGCCATTTATAGTTGTTGGCAAGTTATTGTCCTGATTAATTTCAATTTGCATACAGCTTAAACATTCAGCAAAACTTTGTTCACTGCTGGTGAATTACTGTTATCAGAATGTACAACTCAAGGTTATTCACTTTTTGGCATTAATGTCAATAAATTAGACAGTTTGTATTATAGCATTATAGTTGCCGAGAACAAATTTCTCAAACGTTATGCCTGATTTTTTCTCACAACTAATCATTTAAAATCACTACACAGCCACAAATGGCAAATACTACAGCCTCTAACAAATATAGACTGCAGCTAAATTCTCTGAGACAGCACAGCAGGCATTCACTCCACTAGGCAGGTATGCATGGCAATTTAACCTGTATAATTTTCAAACTCTGACATGCAGTTAGTTTGCAAAACAATCTGCTCAGAGTGAATATATGTGAAATCAATCAAAAAAAAAAAAGCTAGAGCAATGTTCAAATTAAGCTTAACGCTTAATAAAACAACTAATAATAATAACTTAAAATAATTATCACTGTGTAAGCATATTACTATTTTACCATAGGTCAGCAATTGTGTCATGTATAGGTAATATATACTATTCAAGTGATGATCTGAATTTAACTTCATAAAATTTCAGATTTATGTTAAATAATTTTGATTTTTTTTTTTTTTTTTTTAATTTGTATTTAATCTGGAGACTTTTTTAGATTCATAGTGCAATCTTATGGTGTTAGCTTAGTCTCATTTCAGTGCATTTATCATTTTGCCCTTTTGAGTTCCTCAGACCTAAAATTACATGTATAGCATAAAAGAGTATTGATTTCAAATTTTTTACTTAGCTGTAGATAACATGGTATAATGTGGCTTTGTTGGTGTGTGTAACTTTGTATTACAGGAGATACTTTCCATTTTTACTTCCTTGTGCAAAGAAAAGGGTTTGTTGCAATCACGAAAAATTTCTTATATTGTATTTGAACGAAAGTATGCATTTGAATGATGTTTTTGTGTGATACCTGTACATATGCACAGATTAAAGAACTCTTCCCCGTCCCCAACATGGATTGTTAAATGGATTCAGAAGAGATTTTGTTCATCATATCTGTATGTACATACACATCTTGTACAATTTAAAAGCAATAACCTTAGGTCGTTGAAATGTGTTGTATATGGAACTGCTTTATCATGTAGTTAGTTGTGCACCTCCCTGTTTAGTTGCAGTCGGTATATAAATATACATATATTCACTTTGTTATTTGGCTTGGTGAGCTCAGTTTTTTTTATTCTTACATGGTGGTAAATTCTGCATTTTTTTTGCTTTAAAATTGATTTAATTATGTTGTTCTTATGTTTTAGTTAAAGTTTTCATGCCTTTAGTTAATAGTTATGCAATAGTTGTAGAATTATTAAAAATTTAAGTGGGGCTAAGCCTAATGAGGCTGCCATTTGTTTACATTTGAAACTCTTAGTAGAATAGTGAATTAAGTCTGTTTGTGCACCAGTTTCAGTGTCTTTGTGCCAAGGCAGATCAAAAGTAAACTTTCAGTTTTGTGCACCGAAAAATCTTCCTGCCTGATGGCTGAATTGCTTTTTTTTTTTTTTTTTTGCATAGAAATTCTAATTTTAATTGCAAATGTTTTCTTTTAAAGCTGTTCTTAACTGTATTTGTTTATTTGGTACTTCCCATTTTGCTAAACAGAATATCCTTGCTGGTAACTTTTTATGCCTCATTTTCAAAACAAGTTGCAGCCATTTCTTATAAGATTGATTGTTTCTTTTAATACTGGCATACAATTACATAGAATCTTTACCAGATAGTTCAATTTTATGCCCTAAGGCCATTCGGGATAAGTAAGTCAAATAGAATGCAATCATACCGCTCACCCGAAGCTGAAAATATAGAAAAGGTAAAGTCAAGGGTTAAATTCATCAATTCTAATGAGAATGCACTAGCGAAATAAAGAACTGTGGTTTTACATAATTTCTGAGTAAGCTATTCAAACGAATTGAAATAATTCTTGCATTTAAACTTGTATTCCATCTTAAGATTTAAATTGAAATTAATGTAGATAATTAATGAGAGAATTAGATTTTTGTAGCGTAGTTTACGTGAAATAAGATCATTTGGGATTATGTGATATGAACCGGCGAATCAGGATGTTGTATCTTGAAAGCATAGTAAATTCTTAAATGATGTCTTTTTTACAAAATTTTAAATGATATTAAAATATTTATGCCTTCAAAATAAAAAATTCTTAGAACTAGCATTTGTTAGCATCTTTTATGTGTATACTGTGTGTTGTCACCAATAAAGTCTGCTTGGCGAGATTTGCAGCAGCGAAATGGAAAAGTACCGTTTGTTTTCCCCCTGTATTTTACAATTTTTAATGAAAATGCTTTGAATTTCTAAGCATTTTTGCCTTGCCGCGAAGTGAGAACTGAATTAATTGAATGAGAAATATATCTCTAATGAAATTCGAGGAAATAAATTTAAATGAAGTAAAAATTGCATATAATTTAATAGGATGTGCAAGGAAATCATGGTGTCTGCATCATATATTTATATTTAGTTTTTAATTATTAATAATAAATGTAGTAATGGTATTTGGACACTCCCAAGTGCAAATATATATTGCGTGTGAGGTATTAGGAAGCCAGATTTGAAAATTTGCATGAGTACTCAAGTTTCAGCATCAAATAATCTGTATTAAATGAGAAAATCTGAGTAACCAAATCATGCATCTGAGTTGTGTGTACTCTGTCCTTTACGAACTGAACTTTTTATATTTCTTATTGTAATTTTACATGCAAGAGGAGTTCAAAGAAAAACTATTAGCCTCATTTATTTATGTTCATTCTGTTGACTAGATTTCTTCAGAAAAAGGGATCTGGATTAGCAAGACATTAAACCCATAATTGAAGTCAAATTTCTCTTACAATTACATGCTTGATATTTCTGCTAATCAGATCAGGTCATCCATACGTTTTAATTTTTATTTTGATAATTCTGTCATCTATTTTTGTAAGATAAATCATTAGATAATTTAAGCTTTATACATTGTTATAAATTTCCTTAACATGATGTGGAGAGGTGAATGTCAGTGTCATTGTTTTGTTTTCTGGAGTGATTCAAAAGTTATCTTTGGTTTGAAGTCAAGTGCCTGTTGCTTCGGAAATGCCAAAAATAAATATAGTCTTCACAATAAGGGCCATTATGTTGCATAATTCTGGGCTGTCATGTTATCAAATTCTGAGCAATTTTTTTAAAGACCTTGAGCTTTGAGATAGAGACTTGGGCAGTAGCTCCAAATTCTTAAAAGTTTTAAGAATGGGGTGTTAAGGACCTGTGTCATTAAGCAGGAATCGATAAGAAGAATGCAAAAATAGACTGTTTGGAAAATGTGTGTTCAGTTTTATTTGTTTTGCATTTTTTCATAGAATGGATGCACATTGTATGGAGGAGCATGAAATTGTAAGAAAAGTGTTCTACTGGTGCTTGTGTCAATGTAACAAAACCAGGTAAGACACAGATTTCACTTCATGGGAGTGAATGTGAGATGGGAATACCATTTTATCTAAATGAAATAACTCCCAGTAATGTTACTATGTTCATCTAGTTTTTGTGTTTGAATCACTCCTGTGAATGGCCTGTAGTTTTATCTGGCTAAATCCAGCTAGTTTTCATTTTAGAATTAGGGGAAATGTTTTTCTTCTCATCACGTGTTACAGAATTCATTTACATGCAGTCTTTGGCACATTAAACATGTTACTGTGTTTGAGTAATAATCAAATGAACTTGTAGAGGAAACTTGCAGACGATATTTATAGACTTTATTGAATGATCTGAGATTTTGATATTGCCTGTACATCTATCAGTCTTGGCATATTCTTTTTGAATTATGGTTTTAAGTCTTTGAACGTGAAATTTCCATTTTTTTATTTTTTTTTTAAATCACATAAAGCAAGATACCGTCTTTTGTTGTGATGTAACCTCACAACTTCCATAGCACAGTATTTTTAACCTGAAATAAAATTTTCTGTCAAAAAGAGGGACTTTGAATGGGATCAGCATATATAATATAAAAGTAAAATATTGCATAATATGGGAGAAAAGAGTTGTTCAGATTTGTGAATTTGTTTATTAACTGGTAATTGAACTGACACTTCCTTTAAGATCTGTGGCAACATTTGAGTTAAGATGAAATTAGTATCATACTTCAGTAATGCATTAATATTTTTGAAGCAAATAAAGAATGCTGAAATATTGAATTCTAAATTGTTTTGCAAATAAATTAAGCTCTTTGTGAAGCATTAAAGGGCAAGTGAAATTTGATAACTGAAAAGAATTTTATTTGCTTTATTTTATTTAAATGCTCAAATGTTATTACTGAATTACTTTCTTAGATATTATGAATGTTAATGTATTTCTCTAGCTTGGAAAACCATCTACCATTGTTTTAGAGTATGAATTTGAACAATCTGAAACTCCTGTAACTAACACTGAGGAGAATGAAACACCTTCTGAGATGACAACAATGTTGAATAAAGTTTTTGAAGTAGCTCAGACTTATTTTATGGAGCCTAAAAATAAGCAGGTACACCATGAACCTTTTTCTTATGCTTATTATTATATTTTGTACTGTGAGTATGTAGATCATTTTATGCCATATATTGTGCAAAAATCTAATAAAATGTAATTGCAAAAATTACATATTTCAGTTCTGTAACTTGGACAGAATACTAGTCTTCTTGAATACTCTAAACCAGCAGTTCTCAACCTTTTGACTAACACGTACCATCTAAACAAAAATTGAAAACCTTTTATATCACCACTACAAAGTACTACTACTACCACCATTCTTGAACAAAGCTCAGTTAGCATAAATTTACGAGTGTTAGAGAAAAAACTCAATCAAGATGTTGGGGTTTTAATTTTTAAATTTAATATTTAAAAATATCTTGCTTCTTTGCATACCACCATACTTACTTCTTTTGTACCACCAGTTGAGAACCCCTGCTCTAAACAGTTAAAAACTTTTTCAAATCAGTAACAGTGATTGCTTTTACAAATAAGTCTACATAATTTAATTTTTGGTAGACGACATTGAACACTCCATTGCTTGCCAATCTTCTAATAAAGTCATATAGTACATAAATGAGCCAAATTCAACATTTTCTATTGGTAACGTCAAAAAATCAGTGGCAGATTTGCTATCACCAAATAGTGTACACTCTTTCAAACTGAACATTAAGATTTCATCTTTTTTAAGACATTATTTTGTCCACAGCAACTCCTTTGCTGCATCTGATAAGGCAGTGTACTCCACCTTCATGGTGGGTAAATTTACAACTTACACTTTTTTGTTTTAAGTTTTCCAAATTATTGGTACCTTATTTAAATATACTATGAATCCACCCAATCCCAATTACTTGCATAATCAGGATCTAAATAACAATATACATTTAGATGTTTTCCTCAATAAATTTAATTTGTATAATTTAGTACTATTTAGGTAACCAAGCAATTTTAATAATGCTTCCCAATGTTTAATTCCACGATTCTCCTCATATTGCAAAAAATATTTACCACATTATGTAGTATCAGGCCTAGTCCTATTAGCTACAAAAACTAAACATCCCAATAGATATCTAAAGGGTAATTTACGCATTTCATCAATTTCTGCACTTGTAGACAGACAATCTGCAAATATCACAGAATTTTTTTTAACTAACTTTGTAAGAATAGAGCCTTTGGCTATGGGAAATGAAGTTATTGGTATTGGAAAGTGTTTAAATTTTTCAAAAATTTCTTTGATGCATGTATGTTGATGTGTAAAAATCCCAGTGGCATTTTCTAGGAATTCATTTCTGACTAACTCTCTAATTCTGCCTAATACTTTAAGACCAGAAAATTTACTCAACTCTGAGATTATGTATACATTGTTAATCTTTACTAAAAGTTACAATATCATCTACATTTAATAAGAGAATTACAATATGGCTCTCATACACAAAATTACACCATTGTATTTCCTGAAAATTTAAATTTTCTGGCGTATTTTCAAATTCATAAAAACATTTGCACTTGTTGATGCAGACTCTAAATGGCCTTGTATAGTAAACAAATTTTACTTTTCCCTCCAGTAAAGCCCTCTGGCTGGGTTATGTATATTTTCTCATTTAGCTTTGCCTATAAATATGCTTCTAATTGACAGTTAGTCCATTCATTTAAACATACTAATATTGTGGAAAATACGTATATGATTGAAAATTTAACTGACCTATAAACATCATCAAAATCTTCCGTTCTCATGTTCTTGAATCCTTACAAGAGGCACTCTAAATCTAACTTCTTAATTATTTTCATTTATTTATTTATTTATTTTTATTGTGTAGACCCATTTATTGCTGGAGTTTTTTTTTTTTTTTTTTTTTTTTCCCTCTGGCTTTCAATTCAAAAAAGGGGGGGGGGGGGGGGGGGAGGGGAGGGGGGTTGGGGGGGGGGGGGGGGGGGGGGGGGGGGGGAGGGGGGGGGGGGGAGGGGGGGGGGGGGGGGGGGGGGCGGGGGGGGGGGTGGGGGGGGGGGGGGGGGGGGGGGGGGGGGGGGGGGTGGGGGGGGGGGGGGGGGGGGGGGGGGGGGGGGGGGGGGGGGGGGGGGGGGGGGGGGGGGGGGTGGGGGGGGGGGGGGGGGGGGGGGGGGGGGGGGGGGGGGGGGGGGGGGGGGGGGGGGGGGGGGGGGGGGGGGGGGGGGGGGGGGGGGGGGGGGGGGGGGGGGGGGGGGGGGGGGGGGGGGGGGGGGGGGGGGGGGGGGGGAGGGGGGGGGGGGGGGGGGGGGGGGGGGGGGGGGGGGGGGGGGGGGGGGGGGGGTCTTCATTCCAAAAATTTCCTTCATTGTGTCAGTTTCTTCCCTCATTGCCTTATCCCATTCTGTGGCATTTGCAGATTTTCATGCTTCTTTAAAATTTTGCAGGATGAAAATTTTCACACATCCTTTAATACAAAATTCACTTTTAAAAATATTCGTTTTTCCCCACTAAAGCCAAACATCTGTTTCTCAAATTTAATGTTTATAGCCTCATGGTACTTTTCAATGTCATTAAAGGATATAAATGTGTCTGCTTTTTTCTACATTCTAATATATATCTGTGTATGTCCTACCTGGCCTCTTAACTGCTTTTCCTTGCCAGTCTGGATAAAACTTTCTTCAGTATAGATTTGTTGTCTAATGATTCTGTTTTTTAGAAATTTCCTGTTCTTCATTTAATTCTGGTAACATTTCTGATTCTTTAAACTGAGTTTTAAGTTTCTGGCCCATGATACTATCTGCTATATTTAATCTTCATCTCTGTCCTTCTGGCAGCCAGATTCTGTACCCCCTAATTTGCTTGGCATATCCCACCATGATTCCTTCTTTGCATCTCATTTGCAAATTATTTCTAATCTGTTTTGGTATGCCAGTATATGCTTTTATATTCAAGTGCTTTAAAATAAATAGCACTAGGTTTTCTTTTGAGGAAGATCTCATAAGAGGTTTAGTTATTCTTCCGACATACCCTATTCCAAGTATGTGAAAAACATTAAAGAGCTTCCGCCCTCATTCTTTTCCCATTTTACTATTATTAAGCATATTTTGAACTGCATTTAATGCTGTTCAGTTAAAATATTCACACACACCATTCTCTTTTTGGAGTGTAAGCATTTGTACATTCAACAATCATTCCATTTTCAGCTAATTATCTTTCAAATTGGATGTTGCAGATTTCAATGCTGTTATCAGTGCATATACTCGTTAATTTTCTTATTTGGCAATTTTCCATTTTCCTATGATAATTTATAGTTACTATATGATTCACTTTTTTTCATATAATATAATATAATACTAATCCTTTATACATTTACTAATTTACCATAATCCTTTACATTTATTAATTTACTATAGTAATTCTGTTGTCATTCCTTTCTTTACATCTACTAGCTATAAAATTGCGGTATTTTAGAGAAATTTAAGTTTTGGGTTGTTGTTTTTTTCCTGTTAGTCAGGTTCCCTAATTCCATACTTAACGATCCCATTCCGGATTTGCAGGAATTAACTTTACAGGATTCCTTGGCAGTGTGGTTTAATTTACAATGGACAGTCTAAGAGTGCTTTAAAATTTTGTGAAGAACATGAGGCATATGTTAAAAAAAAGGGAGCAGAAATCCTCTGTATCCTTTTTCCTATAGGTCTGAAACTCGCACTTTCCATTTTTCTGCAGCCAAAATTATTCAAAAAACATCTTCTATTGGTGAATTAGATTTATAGATGGTACTAGTAGCTTAACTTCTGTCCGGCCATTCTTATCTTATCACCATACCTTATCTCTTTCATTTGCACTTCCATGCAAAATTTGTGTGATGAAATACCTTATTTTATTTTAGGTATCTGGAAAGCAGCATGGCCGTACTTCTAATAAAACATCAAAAATTAAAACTTGCCTAAACGAAAGAGCTGCCAAAGATATACCAAATATGAATGCAAGTTCTGATGCAAATATAAGCTGCAAAGAAGTTTCAGTAAATAAAGATGCTGCATATGTAAATCCAACAATTGCATCAGATAATTTAACACCTGATAAGCATGTTTTTGTTATGCCTGTTGGAACAGCTCCCAGAAATGTGAAGCCACCTGATCAAAATTCTCTTAAAGAAGAAATTGGGGTATGTGATCAGAAGTATTACTTTTTAACACAGAAGTTATAATTATGTAAGAGTATATTTGTGTAAACACTTCCGTAAAATTAATTTAACTTAAATTGTGCAAAAGAAAAATTAGCATAATGCAAAAAATGAAAATCTATTTGTTAATATATGTTTTAGGTTTAATGTACTTGTCATTTTTTGTTATTCTGTAATCTGCCATTGTTTAGGCAGTTGCTGAATTTCTGTGTGCTGAAAAATATAAGAAACTATAATTTTTAGGGTTACCTAAGCATCATCATAGAAATATTAGAATATATCACTTAAAAAAATATTGTATGATAATCATTTTTCTTTTCAGTAGTGTCATTTACTTCCACTATTTAAAATATAAATCATTATGTGCCGTATGAATGATTCGAAATTAGGGTAGATTTTTTTCCCCCTGCAGATTTTAAAGTGTGCAATATTCCCTTTTAGAAATAAAGATGAATAAGGGTTCATACATATGGTATCTTTGATGAAAAAGACTTCTTTCCCGCTGCCCACGAGTCAGGACCCCCTGGACATATTATCTGTTTTTGTTCGTATAATGGATTCACACTGTAAAATTTAGAACGATGCGAAAGAAAATTCAAAAGTGCAATTAACATTTAAATTTTTCCAATATCGGTATTACCTGCTAATTGCATTAAAATTAGCTAACTGCAGAGCACAAGAAATGCAGTAAGACTAGAATTATCTTATTGCAGGTCTCGAGTTAACTACTGTATGCGGATAAAATATTTGAGTTGTTTTCATCTAGTTGAACCTTCCTAATATTCGAATGATAAAACACTTGCTAAATACTGATACTTTGGTTTAGGTTCGAACATAGGTGAAGGGGCTGACTGCATCATAGGTGTTTTGTGCAAAGCCAGTTTTCCTTAGAAAGCCTTTCACGATAGTAGCCCTCATAGGTTTGCAAAATATAGCTCTCCTATACTGTGCAATATCTAAATAGTCTTAAACCATAGACTCCAACTACTACAGATTCTCCGTAGTTTCTACGGAAATTCATGAAAAACTACGAGCTACGAAAAGTATGGAAAAAACTACGGATTTTACAGAAACAAGAGCAGGAGAACCAGTACGCAAAACGGAACCAACTAATTCATCCGATGATTGGCTGAATACTCGTGTTATCATATATCACGTGTTGAGTGCGTTCCTAGTTTTGAAGAATTAGCCAATCCTAGATCAGTAACTCCAACCGTTAACGACTTATCAATAGTTCCACCCAATTGTCTGTCTCCCAGGTTCCTCGCTGATGCGTGTTTAGTCTGCATTGTGTAGTTTACGGCGAGAGCTTAGCGTGTGTCTTGTGAACTGTGAATCAGGTGAAAGATTTTTAATTAATAATGCTGCCTCGAACGAAGAAGCCAAAATTATCAAAGCAGAAAATTTAAAGATTCATATTCTTCAGAATTTCCATGCATTAAAGCGTCCGAAATTTCTGTGAATCACGCACACTGCAGTGTATGCAACAAAGACTTCTCAGTTGCTCATGGCGGAAAAAGATGACTGTAAACGGCATGTTTGTTTTCTCAAAAGCATATAGAACTTGGCACCGTAAAATCCTAAAGAAATAACAAATTTCTTAATAAAAAAGATGATGAAACAGATCCTATAAAAGCCGAATGCTATTTTGCTCGTTTTTTAATTGAACATAATCTACCGCTTTCTGTTTCGGATCATTCCAAAGAGCTTTTCAAAGCAATGTTTCCGGATTCTGCCATAGCAAAAAAATTTAGCTGCGGTCATACCAAAACTGCTGCTATTGTGAAAACGCTTGCAGAAAATACTGTTGCTGATATTATAAAATCAGTGTGCAGTACATCATTTTCTCTAAGTACTGATGGAAGTAATGATAACAATGATAACAAACTGTACCCATTGGTTATAACATACTACAGTAAAGAAAAGGGAGTGATAATTACTTCATTGATTTCTATTTTAGAATGCACGAATAATACAGGAGAAGGTATTTTAATTGTATAAATGAAAACTTTAAAAACAAAGGTTTAGAATGGAAAAATTGCTTATCATTTTCTTCAGATAATGCTAGTAATATGATTGGAAAGTTTAAAGGTGTAGCATCATTTATCAAAATGCATCAACCAAGTATAATCACCCGAGGTTGAGGTTGTCCGTGCCACCTCTTGCATATAGCTGCAAAAAAAGCTACTGAAAAATTAATTGGCTCAGAAATTGAAATGTTGATAATAGATATATATTTTTACTTGAAGAAAAGTTCGAAACAGAAGTATAGCTTCAAAGTTGCTCAACAAATTTTGGGACAGAATGCAAAATCTCATAAAATTTTGAAATATTGCAGTACGAGATGGTTGTCTCTTTTAGAATCTATAACAAGGATTTTGGAACAGTGGGATGCTGTGATAAATTTTTTTGGAGATAAACCAGATAACAGTGAGAATGAAGGAAAGAGATTGCAAAACATTAAAAAAATTTTACCGTCACCGACCACCAAAATTGTACTTGTTATTTTTGAAAAAATACTTTGCCTTTGTTTATAACAGTAAATATTAATTTGCAACAACAGCTCCTTATATACATAAATTGAGAAGAGAACTTTTTGAACTTTTAATGAATTTATTTGTTAGATTCGTAAAACCATCAGTAATTTCTAAAGAAAATGAAGATATTACTCTAACGTCTATTCCATTTCAGAAAGTATAGTAAACAAAAAGAAAATGAAAATTTAGTGATTGGTGCGGAAACAAGACTATATTTAAAAAAAGCCAAGTTGAATGAAAGTGAAGTGAAATTGCATTTTTCAATTCTGTGCGAGCTTTTTTTGTAACTGCATGTTCATATATAATTGATAAATTTCCACTGAGAGTGATCCATTTCTAAAACATGCTGAAGTTGCTGACATCAACTTGAGAACTGAAGTCTCATTTTCATCTGTTCTTTACTTGATGAATACTTTTCCATCCATTATTGATGAAAAATGTCTTAATCAAGTAGAAATTGAATTTTCCATGTATCAAGTAGATGATTTGAAAGAAATTGTAGATTTGTGTATTGATATAGCATTGGGAGAAATTGCCAAATTAAAAAATATGAATGGGTGTATTAAATACAAAGTATTGCCTACTGTAATGCTTGCTGTCTTAATAATACCTCATTCAAATGCAGCTTGCGGAAGATTTTTTTCTATTGTTAAAAAAAATCAGACGGAATTTCGACCAAATTTAGGTCTTAAAACTCTTGAAGCAGTTTTGATTGAAAAAAAATATGCAGGCAAATGAAGAACTGTGTTATAAAAAAACATTCTCAAAATCAGAACTTAAGCTTGCTAAGCATGCTACATATAAATTTTTGCATTCATAAATTATGCGTATTTTGTTTAATACTTATATGTATCATTCTTGGTTATTTAAATTTTATTTCCCTGTAGAAATCATGTCCAGAATAAAGATATGATTTATAGCTTCTGATTTTTTCTATGATTAGTAGTGATTTGAAGTACTTTTTATTAGTGAATGCTTGAGGAGTTAAAAGAAAATTTCATATTAAATGTGCATATAATTTACAAGGTATATTTTTAATTATTCAGTTTTATATGTATATGCATTTTAAATGTTATAAAATTGATTACAATTAATTATTAATTTAAAATTAATGAATGTTTAATTACAACATACGCTACGCGCACATATTCAGAGTTGTAAAAATGTCGTTCGCGCGTTGACTACTGACAAGGTTTGCTGAAGGTTGGAGTCTATGGTCTTAAACTATTTTTAGTTGAAAATGAATAAATTATGCATTTTATTTTGGAAAAAAAAGTATCTTGTTAAATTTTAGTTTCTTAGAGGAAAGAAAGAAAAGATTACATATTTATTTCTAACTGAGCCAGCCAGCTATGTGAACAAAACTTAATTTTGTTTCTTTTAGTTGAAATAGAAATATATTGTGCATTTTGGTGAATAAAAAGGGTACTACACTTCAGTTTTTCTGTAGAATGTCCGTTTTGTATTATATTTTATGGAAATTAAATCTTTTTTTTTTTTGCAAACCCTAGGTGGGGAAAAATTATATATATATATATATATATATATATATATATATATATATATATATATATATATAAATAGCAGTCCCACACGAGCCTAATAATAAATAAATATAAGCCTATAGAAAGCAAACCTGGTGCCCAGACTTTCTTCAATATTCAGATAGACTGTGATCATATCCCGGGTATTCGTTGAAATTAGTGGAAAAGCTTACTTCTGCTTCAATGCATGTTTTACATAAATTCTAATATTCACATTTTGAGCATGTGTATTAGCACATAAATATTCTTGAGAAAAACCTAACTGAAGGAAAATGAATCTAATCATGATCAGTTCTACACAATTTTATATTAAAATTCGTTATCATTTGCAGTTTAGTGCAAACATAATTTTTTTCTTTGCATATTTCAAAACTTTCACCGTTTACTACCTTTAAAAACAACTGCATCTTATTATACTGAAAAATGATATTTAAGAATGTATTGAATTCTGGGAAATAATCATAATTAAATATATCGAAAAACAAATATAAATATTTATAAAACTTTATTTCTGTAAACTTATAATGTTTCTGTATTAGGTAACTACACTGAAAGTAATACTAATGGAAAATGTTTAGTAAAACTATGCATTACCTCTATTTAACTATAATATTTTGAAAAAATATTTTCAGTTTTCTGACTGCACATATTAAACTCATTTTGCATAAAATGCATTGGCCGATCAGCAGACGAGCAATAAAGTATCTGAATTCTCTGAAAGTCTGGTAATTTGGCCCAGGATTCAAGTCCTGGCAAATGAGCTCACTGTGTGAAGGCGATTTCTTTGTTTTCCCCACATTCAGCGTGTATACGGGCCAATTCTACCTCATAAATTCCTCCAGAAGGACATCCCTATCCTTAGGCAGATAACATTTGAGTGCTTTGCCATAATCAAATTAAA